TAATCAGATGAAATTAATAATATATTCAATTATAAAATCATCAAATAAAAATTAATGAATAAAATTAATGAAATAAATAGTGAAGAAAGTAGTAAATAAGATATGTTACAATAATTAACAATGAATTAATTAATATCTGAAGGTATTCATCATCAGTAATAAAATGGAATGTAATTTATATAAAATGGAAATTGAAATAATAAAATAAATAATAAATATAAAATATATTTGTGTTGGTAATTCCAAATACAATCTATATATCAATATAAATGAAATTATGAATAATGAATATGAATAATAAACATATTAATGAAATAATTAGAAAAGTGATATAATATTGTATAAGAATGAAATAATAAATAATATTTAGATAGATGATACAAAGAAATGAATAATGAATATAAATAAAAAATAATAAATCATAAAATCAAAGAAATAGAAATAAAATAAATAATAAAATAAATGATTGAAAATAAAAATAAATAAAAATAAAAATAAATAAAAATAAAAATAAATAAAAATAAATAAAAATAAAAATAAATAAAAATAAAAATAAATAAACAATGATAATCAAATACATCAATAAATTGAAATCAAATAAATGGATATTTTAGAATATTGATTGAATCAAAATTTATAGATAAAACTACTACAATCAATTCATTGAATTCAATCAATATTAAAAAGAATATATTTCTCCATTTAACTAAAATACAAAATAGAATAATATTCAGTGTGTACAGAAAAGATAAAATATTAAAAAATGATTAAAATACTATCCACTTTGTAAATACAATATTTCAACAATAGTAAAACACATTCTACTATCTTGTATTTGTCATAAAAATCATAAATTGAGAAATATGACAATATTAGTATTATCATATTAGATAATAAGAAAATATAAATGAAATAATCAATACAAGAAATCAACATATGAAACAGTATTCTAATACAATGACATTACTATGATATTGAACAAATAAATAATATCAAAAAGTAATTAATAATATCATAAAATATCAGATATATATCTAATAAATAAAAAGAATAAAACTGATCTATTATTTGATATGAATAATGTTGTATATCATAATATTAATGGAGTATATTTGAATAAAAGAAATAAGTATAAAGAAATGAAGAATATAATAATTAAAATAGAGAAATTAAATGATGTCAAAATAAATATAATATTAATTTCAATAAATTAAATAGTAAATTTTGAAATTATTAAATTAATTAAATAATTAAAAATGAAATTAACATCATAAAAGAAATTAAAAACATTGTAATTAAAAACATGATGAATGTCATTGAACATTAATTCTACCACAACCAAACATATATTGATGGATTATATGATGAAGATTCATTGATAAGATTAATCTCCATTGAATAACAAATAATAAATACAAATTCTATTATTATTTATTTATTTGTTTTTTATTTAGTTCTTTTTTATTTTGAACTTAAAATATTTTTAAGATTATCATTCTATTTTCTTCTTCATTTAAATCAAAAATTAAAAATGATTTATTGTTTTTTCATGAAATTATAATATTTTCATTTGAATAATTGTTGTTTTATCATTTCTTATTTCATATCTTCTTTGTATTGTTATTATTTTATTTATCATTTACATTAATTCTATTGTCAATTCTATTTGTCATTGTTCAGACATATAATGAAATGGTTGTTTATTGTTTGAATTTTACATCCATTTGTTTGAATGCTTTTATTTCTTTTATTTCTGTTCTTTTCTTAATTCTCACAAATATAATCCATTCAT